ATTATGTGACACTCAGTTTTCCCCGACTGCTAACCCAATTCATTCGCATTGTACAGACAACAGATGAACGAAAAGGATAATGGAATGGTACCCACGCAGCGTTAAACGAACACTGGGGAGGCCACCAGGAGGTGGAGAAGCCGGATAGTAAAAGTGTTACATGATCTCGGTGAGCGCGACAACGAGGTGAGTGGAGAAGTGTCAGCTGTAGCGATCGCACAACGAACGTCGATGACATACAGAAAGTTGCTCAAGTATTCAGTGCTGCTGTTTCTGATTTCTTGTTTTTCACATGTTTGTTTTGCAAAATAGCTACATGATTGTTCAGAACATGGTGGATAGGAGGCTGTACTGATGATTCCCGCTTCTAACCGCATGCATTGCTCGGTCTATGTTTACAGCTAAGGGATGAGACAGGGGCTACATCGTAAAATGTCCTCCGGCACATGACCAGTCCGTAGACCAATCCTTCTATTCTGCTATTTCAAGTATAAGTATATAGTAATAAGATCAAAAGTGAGGCGTTTCTCGGTAAGTATAAATGCTAAGAGTGATGTGCAGTTTTCGGTTTCTCTATTATGCCGGGCAAAGTGAAAATCTCAGTGAAAAGTCACATGTGGACTGTAGTGATCAGTCCTGTAGCAACAGCTAATGCACATACAGGCTCGCTTATCTGGATATCTGAATTAGCACTCACTGCTTTCCCACAACTGACAATATTCGACTGTGCCCCTTTAATCGGCTGGCCTACAGTGCCAAACAAACTTTCATAATTTACATTTTCAAAAATATCCCAAACACTTCGTTAACGTGGTAACAATCCAATTTTATGCTTTTTACACTGCAGTGCTTCTTTTCCAGGTATTTACTAAAACTTAATTGAACCATACAAAACTGCGCATTTTTTTGTGCTGAACAATAATCCGAGGCGTCGCTTAGACGCTGGACGGGAACCCGTCATCGGAAGGCTGTGTGAAATGATGAGATCACTGGGCCGACAGGTTCGCCAGCTACGTTCACATATGTCGACGACTGCCACAACAACGGTGAAACAAGCTATCGATGCGACGGAGTTTGCGCAACGCCGTGCGAATTTGGTCACAAAATTGCGACGTGCTACTCCGGGAAGTCGCGCGAAACCGCTTGCCGTAGTGATGAGGTCAGCGACGAGGCAATTCTCGGCTCCGGATGTACCTTATCCGTTTCGTCAATGTTCCTATTTTCGATATTTCACGGGTCTTACTCAACCCGATGCTGTACTCCTGATCGTTGCAGAACGCAGATCCAAGCCGATCTCAGTGCTCTACATCGAAGGTATTGAGTTCCTGGATATTTCAACAACACCGTGTTTTCGCATAATTTGTAATTTCTTTTATTTGCTTGGGTTTTTTCCCGAATTTCGCTGCACTTGTCGGGATGCATAGTTCATCTAGTCACTAGGGTTTCTCCTTAAAATCATGAGCTGATATTATCCGTCCAGACTTATTTTGTCCAACTATTAAGTCGATTTGAATGCGTCTTGAGAGGATTATTCCCAAAAATCTTACCTCATTGCCGAAATGGGAGTGAAGAAACACGGTATACGTAGAGTAGTACTAGTAGTACTAGAAATAATAATAATGATAGTAATGGCAACCAGAGCTCGTAATAATAACGATAACAATCGTAATGGTGATAATAATAGTAATGATAATGATAATGATAATAATGATAATGATAATAATAATAATAATAATAATAATAATAATAATAATAATAAT